CCGCGCCCCAGGGCCTGGTCGACGACGCCGAGGGTGACGGGAAATCCGACAGCTCCGGATCGGACGCGATTCGGGAATGGCACAGGGCCTCGGAGGAGCAGTCTCGACAGGAGACAGTGGCAAGGCGCCCACTGGGCACAGAACCAGCGCGGCACGAAGGCACAGCGACAGGTTCAACACATATCCGTAGCGCGTGCTCTTCGACGTGACCGCGAGCCCGACCCGCGCGAGCGCGCAGCCAAGCGCGATGATCTGTTGGACGATGTGCCCAAGTGCTTCAAGAGGCCGAAGGGCACGAACAAGGTCTACCTCTACTTGGACAGCTACTTCCAGAAGCACGCGGACGAGGTCTACGCAAGCGCGCGACTCCGTCAGGCATTGCACGCGGGCAACGCGACCGCCAACGAATTCAAGCACGACGCCCTGAGCGCCTCCGAGAAGAAGAATGGACGCCGCCATGAAGACCGAGTGGTCCAAGTGGACGGAGTTCGGCGCCTACAAGAAGCTCCCGCCCAGGGAGCTGAAGGAGCTCCTGCGGCGCAACCCTGACACCCCCCCTGCGGGCGCACGCTGGGGGCTGACCAGCAAGGGGCAGAACGTTATGAAGGCCCGTCTGGTCGTGCAGGGCTGCCGAATCGCAAGCCAGGACGGACGCGCCTACGGGGTCCAGGGACGTGTTGTGCCTTGCCCAGGCCGCCGCGGCCCAGAAGAACTGGGGCATTTCGCCCTGCGACGCGATGACGGCCTACCTGCAGTCGGGGAACATCGAGAGGCCGCTGCTCCTGCGCATGCCGGCCAAGAACCCGCCGCCGGGGACGCAGCCTGGCGAGATCGCGATGGCCACAGGCGCGATCTTCGGGACGCGCGACGCCGGGAAGCAGCGGCACCTTTACGCCCAGAAGGTCTTCGCCGAACACGGCCTCGTAGAGAGCAAGCTCGAGAAGGATCTGTATTACGACGAAGGTGGGCTCGCCGCGGCTATCCATTCCCATGTGGACGACTTCCTCATCGCCCAGCGTAACACTACCACCAAGCGGGAGTCCACGGTTGCATCGCTAGGGAAGAAGCTACACCTCAAGCAGGTCGACGGGGTCATCAAGTACTGTGGACGTGCAATCACTCGACGACGAGTTTCGGGCGACCCATGCCACCGCCGCCTCGCAGGTGGACTACGTCGACCTGAAGGCCCCGAAGGGCCGCAATGCCGAGGATCGGCTCACTGCCACCGAGGTGACGAGCTACCGCCACACGCTCGGGCAGCTGCTATGGCTAGCAGTGGTGGACATCGCCTGTCCGGTGAGCTTTGCAGCCCGCCGCGCCGACGTCGCCACCGTGGCCGACGCGAAGACCCTGAACAAGACCGTCGCCTACGTGCTCTCGACCGCGAACTTCGCGATCGCGTTCAAGCGCAGGCTCGTCGATCTGATGACGGCCACCACCGCGTGCTTCAGTGACGCTGCGTTCGCCAACGTGGATGGGGTCAAGAGCCAGTGAGGCATGGTGATGGGGCTCACTCACCGCCCGCGCGATGTCGTCGGCGCCGCTACGACCTTTGCCTACCTGTGGCCTGGCACTCCGGCACGGTCAAGAGGTCGGTGAAGTCGACCCTCGCTGCCGAGGGCTACGCGACCCTCGAGGGATCGGAGACCAACATCTGTATCCGCCCGCTGCTGACCGAGGCCTACAACCCTAATGCGGCGCCCAAGCAGATCGACGTCCTCGCCGACAAGCGCCTTGGGGAGATCTACAGCGACAGCGAGGGTCTCGTGACGCACATCGCTTCTGATGTTGGCCAGTCTACCGACAAGCGATTCCGCTTCGTCGCCTCCATGATCAAGGAGGCCGTGCACCCCAACAGCGCACTCGAGCTCAGTTGGATCCCGACCTGGGCCATGGTCGCGGACGCCTTGACCAAGGCGATGGAAGCCGGCGCCCTGATGGCCTTCTTCGGGGCCCGCAAGCACAGCTACGGGACCCGGCAGCCGCGTGCCGCCATGCTCGCCTCAGTCCTCTTTACCCGCCTCGGCGAGGTCAAGGGACAGCCTACGCCTACGTCGACGGTGCCAGACTACAGCTTCGACATCTGCCTGCTGACGTTCACGCTGGGCCTCGGCGCGACTATCGGCTCTGGCATCTTCATGGCGCTCTGGGCGATCGAGGCAGAACAACATGATCGCTACCGAGGAGCACGTCGCTGAGGCGAAGGCAATGGGCGAGCGTCCCGGTTGGGGCGGCCGCATGACTGGCCGGCGCCGTCCAGCTACAATCCCCGAGGATCGTGACCACGACGGCGACGTCACGATGCACCCCTCGGATGGACGCAGCAGTTCGCAGGCATCGAGTTCTGCAGCATCGGCTTCAGGCGTCTCTTTCGGACGCCGCCGCAGCCGCCGACATCGGCACCACCGCCGCCGCTGCTGCCGCCAGAACCTCCGCCTGCCAGCACGCCACCTACCGCAACATCAGCACGATCGAGGCCAGCGAGATCTCGGAGTTCGAATTCAGCCCCTACCTCACCCAGCATAGTCACCGCATCGAGTTCATCGAGTTCACTAATGATCTGCGAGTGTGGTTTGGTGGAACGGTTCCTCGCCGACGGCGTCGTCGAAAGAGATGCCCAACTGCGCGACCGCCGCCCCGCGCCATGATTGCAGAATCGGGCGTAACCCGCACAGCGTCTACATTGCCTGCAAGACCTGCAAGAAGCACTCGTCATGGCTTCCCCGGTTTCACAGGAACAGCAATCTTGATTTCACGAACTTCCCCGAAGGCGCGACGAATGATCTCATGGGCTCTTTGGAGGGGGCTCACCGGCAGAGACTGCTGGCGCGGACCTGGCCCGTACCAAGAAGGAAAGATGAATCCCCGGACGGCAGGTTGGCCTGTCGGACCAGTCTGCTGCTGTTGCTATAGACGGTCGCCTTTTGCGACCCCGCTTACGTGGGCCCGCATTGCTGCTCTGTTTTACACCCGGCTAGAGATGCACGTGGGTCCACATTGCTGCTCTTTTTGCAAAGGCTAGAGATTTACTTAAGTCCGCCTTGCTGCCCTGTTTATATATATACATATATATATACATACATATATATATATATATATATATATATATATATATATATATATATATATCAAAGAAACACCTGGCCAGGGTCTTACGTCAGTCCGCATTGTTGCTCAGTTCCCACACCTGGCTAAATATTTCACGCGAGTCCGCATTCACAGAAGCATCATTCAGTGTACAGATATTTTGTCTTCAAATATGTGATTGCGATCACACTCATTCAGATCTTATCTCGATCAGATAGCTATGTTTTGAGTTCTGCCGCTTCGCGATCGATCTCCTGCTGTCGCTAGCCTTGCCTGGTTTTCATTATAGCGCCGGCGGCGCTGATAACTGACAAGAGTATCCTGCAGGTCGCGTGTAGCGCTTCCGCTTAAGTGCCGAAAGGTCTGCCTGCAATGCAAGCCGTGTCGAGCCGTTTGCTCGCCTTCTGCCAGCATGCTTCGCATTTCGCTTAATGGAGAGGCAGGCTTATATGCCGCTGCTCTCGCGCCTCAGTCTCGTGCTCCCGCGCACCGTGCAGGAGGAGTGTGATTCCAGAAGGCTCGCTCCTCTTCTCACCTGCTCTTTGCCGCCGCCCATTTGGCTTTACCCTTTTTTGTCCAGGGCCCTTGGCTAATTGAGCTACGACCTCTGCCATGCAGAGCGAGTGAACAACATATTCAACGAGAATCTTCCATATCCCAGAGTGGGGATTGATGGTCGAGGTCCACGGTCGAGGGTATCGTGGATCGACGGGATATGATCGAAGGGATCGATGGTCGAGGGTCGAGTGGCGAGGATCGCGGGTCGAAATTGAGGGGCTAGAGCGCTGAGTGTCGTGAGTCGAGGGTCGGGTGGATACGGTCGAGGATAGGGGATCGATGATCGAGTGTCGAGGGCCGAGGATCGAGGATAGAGGGTCGAGGGTAGAGGGTGGATGACGCAGGTTCTTGTAATATTAAGCGGCACAACTCGGAGGTCCTTTTCAGATTTCTTGAATTGGCGCTGGCCCCCTCTGGCGGTGCCTCCTGCGCCGCCCCTGGCGCGCTCCGCGCGTTGGGATAACGGGCCCAACGCAAATCCACGAAACCCGCGCGGAACTCCAACAGTTTATGGTTAAGCAGTTTTTTTTTCCTCGATATTTGGTGGCGCGTTCTAGACATGTGACATGGCCTCGTCTTCGAGGGATCGAGGAGTCGATCTCTTTCCCTCTGCGGAAGGTGGCGGAGGGCCGGCGGGAGCGGGCGGCAATGAAGACCGTCCCGCCAAGAGAGGTACGATTTTTCTGGGCCTCGGGTTTTTTTTCGTCACCGCGGCCGCGCTCGCATTGCTATTATGATCACAACGCACCCCTGGAGGGTTCCCTGACCGCCCGCTGGTCCTTACATCCAGGTTCGAGGTGTGAGTTTTTTTAATGTTTTCGGGGGGCCGGCGCGCACTTTGGACCCGGGGACCGTCAAACATTGAACCAGGATGAAGAATTTGCAAGGATTGGCTCTGGGAATTGTCGGGGGACCGGTTCTGAATGGATTTAGCAGGGGGAGGTTCGAGGGGATCGAAGCTATTATAGTATTTTGGTTCTCCGGGAGGCTTCTCGTTGCTGCTGCTGGGTTTTCTGTCGCACCCTGGGGCAGGCCCAGATATAGTTTTTTTTTGATGTGTGGGGCATAGACTTCTGTAGGCTCGAAAGAATTGAGCTGGATATTTCTTTGCTTGTTGATGATTTTCGTCCTGCAGCCGTTTCCCAGGCCCAGGGCCATCAGAGGAGGATCGAGGAGGAGGAGGAGGAGGAGGAGGAGGAGGAGGATCGAGGACCTCGGATCGAGGGTCGAGGATCGAGGATCGAGGAGGAGGAGGAGGAGGAGAAGGAGGAGGAGGAGGAGGAGCATCCAGGAGGGTCGAGGGGTACCAGGGAAGATCGAGGTGGGGGATCGAGGATGAGGTCCGCCCCCACCAGGTGATAGCGTCTGGATCCCCGCCCTCTCCGCCGTGGGCGCCGGCTTCGCCATCGGCTGCCCGCGGGGCGCCCCAAAAAGCGGTCACCCGCGCCAAGACCATTGGCATCGAAGAGGGCCGAGGTTCGAGTATCCGACGCCGAGGAGGATCGAGATTCTGCGAGGGGGATCGAGATTTCGGGAAGTTTGTTGTTGGGGGGCGGGTCGAGCGAGACAACGGCAGGGTAGTTTTTCTGTCAACGGTTTTCGGTTTCAAGTTGTTTTAAGGTTGCTGGCGCCGTGCTTTTCACGTTTCTGGGGCCGTGTTTTTACGGTTTTCGAGTCCCTTCAACTCTGGATCCGACGCGTTTTCGATCCGATGCCACACGTCTTTCGGATGCCGGATTGCCCAGGCCGTTTCGGTGCATAGTTTTTTCCGTTTCGGTGCACCGTTGTTTTGCCGTAGTTTCATCAAGAAGCAGTATTTTTCCGAACGTTGTAAAAACGGCTCTGCCGTTTCTCGGAGGATCGCGGTTCGGGTATCCAGGTTTTTGGACGGTGTTTCGGGGTGGGTGGGTGGGGCTTACAAAGTCGTGGGCGTCCAAGAGGGGGGTGAGGTTGTTTGTGGTCATCTCGGCCAAGGCCATGACACCTTACAGATTTCATGGCCCCTTCTTCGTTCAGCACGCGCCCTTGACCCCCTTCTCCCGCGCACGTGCCACGGGCCATGGTGCGCTGACCCCGACCTTCCTGGTCCCTCTTCGGCGCACCCGCCCAGCGTCGAGGAGGATCGAGGTTCGACAAGAGAAAACTGACAGTCGGATGTTCAGGAGGAGGAGGACGACGACGAGGAGGAGAAATGGGACCAGGCCGTCAACGTCTTGAACAAGTCAAGACGTCATGCCAAGGTACGTTTCGATCCGATCGATCCGATCCGATACCGATTCCGCCCAGCTCGATCCGATTCGATTTGCATGCTGAGGCGATCCGATGCGACCCGATTCCCGCATGGCGGCGTCGTGCTTTCTGTCGCGGCCGACCCGATGCGATTCCGGCTCCGTGCCGCAGCGGCCCATCTCGATATACGTTCCAGTCCGATCCGCGTTCCCGATTCGATGGTGACTGATCCTGCATATGCTCGCTTCCAGGTTTCGGGCCTCGGGGGTCCCGTTCTGGGCCCTTGGTCTGGAACAGCCGACCCAGGACAGGACACCCGCCCCTGGAAGGCTTCGACACCTGCAAGGGCCCACCGATTTACATGGTGACGACGCCAGATGCCTGGACTCACCTTCGAGGTTTAATAAAGCTGGAGGCCTAGAGGTTAGTGATCCCGATCTCGGTGACGGTGGCAATATTCGGTCTTATTAGTTGCCCGAAAGATGACCACAATCACCAACATTTCGGATTATCTTTCCCTGGTGGAGGCAGTCGTCGTCTGCTCAACAGCTGCCGCTGTCGGTGTGAGACAACATTCGCTGCTGGGCATCGTCCCTCTTGCGGGCATGCCGAGATGTCCTCGGACGCCCGCGCACGGCCTCTCCGTTGGAACTGGAGGTGCCAAAATTGGCGGACGCACCTCAAAATGTCGTCGGTTGTCGTCGCCGCCCCCGCCGCCGCCGCCGCCGCCGCCGCCGCCGCCGCCGCCGCCGTCGTCGTCGTCGTCGTCGTCGTCGTCGTCGTCGTCGTCGTCGTCATTCCGCTGAGCATCGTTTTCCAAACCCCTCCCCGGGGCCGGTCATGGGCAAGGCCACCTCGATGAGTCCATCTAAGTTGCGTGATAGCCAGCTTTTCGAGTCGCGTCTAGCTGCGGTGACGATACCTCGCAGGAGCGCGCAAGACTCATTCGAAACGAGGAAGGCGTCGTCGAAGGCGAAGACGGAGTCGAAGTCGTGGGCAACGTCGGCGGGCGGCGGCGTGCCTCTGCCTGCAGGGCCCGGTGATCGCAGATCGTTTCTAGACGATCGACGATTCGATGTTTGTCAATCCGCGGGCTCCTGAATGCACGATCCCTTCCCTGGGGGTAGTGTTTTAGTCCCAGATCCACTGGTGATGGTCTGGGTGCCCCTTCCGTAATGGTGAAAACAGAGGTCTCGAGCAAACTCAACCCGCTTGGACCGTTGGCATGGCCTCCCAAGAGGCTTGGCCGCGATCGGGAGCGGCGTCGGCCAGGGCATCGCCTCCGGCCGCTGCATCGACGGCATCAGCCGCCAGCCGGAGGCGGCCGACCAGGGCGGAGGAGGAGGAGGACCAGTGTAAACCCAAGAGTCATCAGCGATGTTGGAATAAACCCTCCCTCCAAGCTTCCTCTTCATAGGCCCCTACAACGGTTCATTTCCACAGTGAGCTGCCACGCTGGAACACAACCGTTTGAACAGCCTCATGCGTGCCAGTGTTCTACTCTCGGGATTCCAATGCCACGGATCAACCTGACTGGTGCGTCTTGACGTTCTTTCATTGTGCCAGAATGCCATTCGTGGGACTTCAACACCGCAAAACAAAGTAACGGTTGCGCTATCATAATCCTGAATCTCTCCAAAACACCATTTCTGATACGTTGACCATGGAACCCCGTAAAACTCTTTCAATTTGATTTAGAGGAATGTGCGCGGCGCCAAGGAGAGAGCCACATTTTGAAAACCACCCGCCCACAATCCGTGAAACTCTTGCAAACATTTAAATTTACACCTGCGAAAGCCCCAATCAGTGGATGATTTGAGCATTAATACTATGGATCTTGAGATCGATGGTGGGATCGATAACGAGATCGACAGTGGAATCGATAGTGAGGACGATTGTAAGGTCGATCGTTAGACCGAGAGTGAAATCGCTTCAATGAGATCGATAGTGAGATCGATCGCGAGATCGCTCATGCGATCTCTAGTGTGATCGCCTGTGAGATCGAAAGTGAGATCGATTGTGGGATCGATGGTGAGATCGATAGAGAAGTGGGTAATGAGATCGATGGTGAGACCGATCGATAAGAAGATCTACCAGGAACCCGGGAATCTCGCCGCCCTCCGAAATCGGCCCGGAACCCGGAACCGGGAACCCAGAACCTGGAACTCGGGAACCCAGCCAGCAACCAAAATCGGCGGGGAATGTCTGCCAAATCTTTCAACGTCCGCGATGACCCCTTCAGTGCAAGCATTGATTGGGGAACAAATGTGCGTGGCGCTAAGGCGAGAGCCACATTTTGAAAACCACCTGCTCTTAATCCTTGAAGTTCTTACATTTTTTCCACACGAATGTGCGCGGCGCTAAGGCGAGAGCCACATTTTGAAGACGATTCGCCCCAAATCCGTCAAACTCTTGCAAATGGTTACAACACATGTGCGCGGCGCTCATGCGAAAGCCACATTTTGAAAACCACATGCTTCTAATCCGTGAAGCTCTCATATTTGTTCAAAACGAGTGTGCGCGGCGCTCAGGGGAGAGCCACATGTTAAAAACCATCCGCCTTCATCCGCGAAGCTCTTGGATTTTGTACAATGATTGTGCGCGGCGTTAAGCGAGAGCCACATTTTGAAAACGACCCGCCTTTCATTTGTGAAACTGTTGCCAGTGTTTAAAAGTCAGGGTCATAAATGATGAGGAAGTCTTAGGTGAAACGCCCAGCCGCCCTTTCGACCGGCCTCGGGGTGCGACAGGGAACAATGGTTTATAAGGAAAAGGAATGGAGGAGGAGGAAGAGGAGGAGGAGGGGGAGGAGGAGGAGGAGGAGGAGGAGGAGGAGGAGGACCTCTTGCCCACGCTCGGGCGCACGTGGCATGGGCAGCGAACCCATCCATCCGTCCTAGGGCGGCCTGAGAGGCCTTCTCAGAACTTCTGCCGAGGATGATCGAGGAGGACGATCGAGGAAGATCGGTGAGGACGCTGTACTACCCCTCGTCGTCTATTCGCCTGCGGCGCCCGAAATTTTGTCTGGCACAGGGGGAGAGAGGAGAAGGGAACGACATGGCGACGACGAGCACCCAGGACCCCACAAGAGGCGCACAAGCAGCAGGCTGAAAGAACCATCCACTGGGTCCAGCGCGGGAGCACGGCCAGGGGACTCAACCACTTGTGGCCCCTGCCTTTGCCTCCTCACAGCTGCCTGCTCAGATTTCCACGAGGGGCACGATTGAACTTGACACCCGCTCCCATTGACCTGATAGCCTCTGAGATGAGCTGTTCAGCTGGGATGCATGGCCATTGATCTGACAACACCTCCGTGGGGACTTGAGGGGGCTGATCATCACATGAGGCTGACCTTCCTGAAGCTCTGCGAGCTGCTTCTGAAACTTTTCCTCGAGTCCTGGCTCACGGGGCAGAAGAATTCTGCCTAGCAGCGCGAACGTAATGCGAGACTTGGGCTCCACCCCTGGTCGGTTGTATGTCGGCCCCGTGCCCAGTTCCTTGACCCTTGTTGCCATGATAATCAGGGCACCCTTGGGCATCATTAGCGACAGCCTGTGCAGCACTGTGAGACCATTTTAATCCTTGGCGAGGTATCCTTGATCTCGAAGGGGTTGATCACGATCAGAAGTGAGAAATGGGCCTGGGATACGGGCCCCGCGAAGTGTTTGTCGGGGTCCTCTTTTGCAAAGTTCCAAGTAGTCCTGGAGCGCATTGTTCATTGCTTCGACTGTTGGGGTCTTTAGAGTCAACAAGGCTGTGCTGAGCATGACGTGCTCGAGCATGCGCACGCGCGTTTGGAGATTAACAAGCAAGGCGTCCCTGATGCTGTTCATGCATCCTTACCTATCCGCCTCCGATTCCTTCTCCTCGTCCTCTTCTCCTTCCCTGTGCGTAATGGGACCCGGGAGAGATGCTCGTCCCTCGTGGTTTGACCATGCTCGAGGCAGACCGTGCTTCATCCATCACGTCGAGCGTGGAACGCTTTAGACACTCGGACAGATGCGATAAACTATGCTCGGTACAGTTAGGTGCGGGATCGCGTTTCTCGAGGCAGACGATGCCCTCGAAACTCTTGATGCCATGTACTACATTATCGAGTCGGTCTTTCCAAAGTTGGCAATATTGCCTGATGAGGCTCGTCTTGGTGTGCTGTTCGGCTTGCACATTCTAATGAAAGATGTTGCCATGTATTATAGATTGAGTCGTGGGTGTACATATTCGTGCGATATGTAGCTGCCCGTGTGTACCTCTCGGCGTAGACTCTGTGTGCTTGATGCGCTGCTTGCGTGTTGGCCGCTCGTTTAGTCATTGGGTACCGTCCGCAAGAAAGTGTAGTGGAAAGCTTTCCCTCGACCGACGATGTCTTTGCAGCGCTGGTGGCAGCTCGCCCAAGGAGTGCTGCGTGAAGCTCGCTTGCATCGAGTAGCTGGAACCACTCGCTAAGCTGGATCAAACGAACCTGGTCAAGACGATCGTTGGCCTGCAAGAGTGAATCGTGTCCTGGCTCGGCGCTGCCAAGAGAGACGATGTCATGCTGCAACTTCTGCGCCCACGGATGAGCCGTCTCGGAAACTCGTGCCATCGACTAGTACCTGTCCGTTGACGGCCATCACACCTAGCATCGCAGCCCAACGTTGCCCGTGGAACTTCTTGGCTGTGGAGAGTTCCTGGCACCACCTCAGCCTAGGCATTCTGAGCTCTAGAAAGGGATGCTCCTAATCCGAAACAGTTTTCGAATGCCCACCATTCCAGGAACACGTACCGTCGAGCATGACTTTGCATTTGCCCATTGTGAGCCTTTTCGGGCCCGTGGAAATCTTGCGGTGCAAGTTGTCCCGTAGCGTCAGCCCAATATTCCATACCCGAGAGAGCGTTGTTGACGAGAAGCCCCTTGACGAGGTTGAGTTTGAGCCTGCAAGGGGCATCAGAGTACCAGCAACTGCCCAAGCTACACATCTGTCTCGCAGCGCGTGCATCCTCTGGCCCAGCTCGGGCGTCTGGGAATGGGTGGAGGTGAGCTGCCATCCTAGATCGCGCGCGTGATGCTTTGAAACTCCAGCGATCCCGTCAGCTCCAGCCTCTGAGCCGTGCAGCTGGCGAGAAACATGTGAGCACACCCGACATGGTATGCGGTGTGCTCTTGCTTACTTGAATTCTGCGTAATTTCCACATTCCCCATACCTTCTGATCGAGCTGCATTTCCGGCTACTGATCCTGCGGCTATGTGTTCCATCGCATCGCTTTTCCCGACCTCCAGAACCTCGCAAGCAGGGTCGTCAGCAAAGACATTGAGAGCTTTTTGCCGTGTGCCCTCCCCCTCATCCGATTGATATGTACCACCCATGGGTACAGTACTGATCGGCTACATGCTGTTTGACGGGCTGCAAGAAGGTTCGAACGAACAACAAAGTGGCGCCTATACCGCCTGGGAAGACTCCACTGCCAGGGTGGAGCCAGGACGATCCGCTCTCATCCTCCTATTGCAACGCTCCTTCGATAATGCAGGCGCGGATGATGAACATTTGTAGTGCTCTACGTCATCAGCACTGACAAGGGCAGCCGTATGTTCAAGCGACAGAAAAATAGAAGCATCGTGGCAGCGTAGTAGATGTGATACTCCACCGTCCTGCATCCTGGAATTATGTGTGGCTTGAACTACTGCGGCGGTTTCTCGTATGCTGTGTTTGAGGCCCCCCGCAGATCCAGTCAGGAGGTCCCCATGGACTGGTTTGGTTTCTGCGAAGACCCCCAGCGTTGTAGTTGCGTCCTAGCGTGAGCATAACTATGTTGATGTGTTCTCCGTCGCAGTCAAGCTTAGCACTCGTCGGCAGTCTTGTCGCATGAGGAGCATGCCAAGAGAGGCGTGCGCTTCCAGCGCCTGAAGGCTGTCTCTAACTGATTTAGAACCTTCTGCATCTGACGCTCCAGCTCCAGATCTCCCAAGCGCACCCCTACCTTGGCTTTTGGCCCCCTTTCGCTCGCCCAGGTTGGGTGGACGAGGAGGCGCAGGCGTTCTGGTGGACGCGACCACTGGCCAGGTCTTCCAGCGACGTAGCTTCCACACAGAGCGAGGCATCGAGTCGTAGTCGACTATCGCCATGGTGACAGCTTCTAGCTCGTCGACTGGCGTGCGATTCGAGTCGTCGATTCCCCTCCTGATATCTTCGAGCGCGCAGGGATGGCTGAGCAGCCTCCTCCGGAAGCTGGCAACTGCAAGCGGTCGTCCCATGCAGCGGCACATGCTTGCGAAAGGGGCATCGCACCCAACCCGCATAGTAAGGATGAGCGTTTTTCCAAGGTTACCCTTGCATCCTTCCCCATTCGGCCCATCCTTGGCCGCTTTCGCTAGCCGCGATCCGCTCGCAAAGTGTCGACGTGGCCTTCCAAGGCCCTTGCATCATGTTCGTGCGTCTTTATTATGCGGGCTTACTGTTCGCAAATTGACGCTGGCGTGGACCATGTCCTTTGCCAGCGAGTATTCTTGACAACTTGTGAACTGTGTAGTGGTTTCTCTGTTTTAGTGCGATGCGCAAGTCTCCGTCCCCCTTGTCCGTACCTACTCCCAGCGTGCTCGCGCCGTGTCTCGAAGTCTGCCACCAAGTTGCTGAATCTGTAGTGTGTCGGCACGCGTGACGACGTCGGGGCAGCCTCGCCATGGTCTATATCGTTGATACTTCCTCTGCTCAAGCGACTCGGCAAGCATCGTTGCACTAGTGACGCGCTCTTCCGAGAAGAATGATGATTTCTGTTGGTTGATTTAGTACGTGCATGAAGACTGTGCTCGTTCCATCCACCTTCCCCTCCTCCATGAGCTGATTGTCCCCCTCCATTACCTCCTCCACCTTCCCATTGAGAACTGTGAGAAGCTTCTGCTTAAAGTCGCCTGTCTGACCGCACTCATACGATGCATCTCTGTTGGGGCGAGGAGGCCTGGCGGGAAGCGGGCAGGCGGTGGCAACGGTGCGAGCGGTGAGAGCAACACGTCGATGGTCGCGCGGTGCATGTTCGATGAAGTTGCAAGTTTCTTGCACTTCTGGTTTGGGCTGCACATGATTCAGCCGCGCACATCATACTGCGTAACACGACGACGTGCCCAATGTGACTTTCACACCCTTCTCCAGCAAAGAAACAATATGTGGAAAGAACGTGTTGGCCGCGCATAATCTCCATACCTCGATACGTGGCCTGATTGCACGAGAAAGTCGGTCGGTGGTGCCACGTCCGCACCCACCTGCGATTTGGTCATCTTCATGGTACCCCAGACCACCATTCAGATCCGTATAGAGAAGATGTACACCGTGCTTGCTGTCCAGAACTTACGGCGTGCTCTGCAGCCAGGTCTCCCGGGACGAATTTGTCGTAGGCGGTTTTTTGACATGCCTTGGAGACTTCCTGCGGGAAATCAAGCGCGATGATGCCCTTGCTATCTCCTTCTGCCGCACGATGGTGAACAAAGGGGCCCACGCTTGAACCCAAAAAGGTAGAAACTGAACGTGCCAGTGATGAGATTCGCTGTTGGGTGCCGCAGATACTTATAACGTCGTTATTGTAGTGCGCCGCGGCGACGTCGGCGAGCCTGGCGTTGCGTGATGCTGCACAACACGGAGGAGGAGGAGGAGGAGGAGGAGGAGGCGGCGGAGGAGGAGGCGGAGGAGGTCAGGAAAGAGGAGGAGGAGGTCAGGAAGGAGAAGGAGGAGAGGAACGAGGAGGAGAAGGAGGAGGAGGAGGATACAACGCCGACGACACGGAGCACGCCTGCAGTCAATGCGCCCGGGGGCGCGCCGCCGCCACGGCTGCACCGGGAGCGAGCGGGTCCCTGCGACGGGCGAGCGAAGAGGCTGCTTGGGAGGTGGCAGCCCGATGCCCGCAATCCTTCGGGCCATTTGGAGGAGGAGGAGAAGGAGGAGGAGGAGGAGAAGGGCGAGGAGGTGGAGGATCGAGGAGGATCGACGAGGATCCAGGAGGAGGAAGAGGATCGAGGAGGTTCGAAGAGTGGGAACGGCGGAGGACAGAGCACCTCTTCTCGCTTCTCTGCTTCGCCTGCCGGCCACATCCTCGAGAGCTTCCGGCCCCTCGGGGACCAGATTTACCAATCAGTACAGCTATGGCTGTTCGCTTAGGCATCATGCTGCATCCCAAGAGTTACAGGTGGCGGACGACCTCCGCGGCGTCCTCCTGCTCTCCTTGGCCTTCATGGAGTCGCTCACGATCTACGGCCTCGTCATCGCGCTGGCGCGCCCGGGGAGGTAGACCTTCGTCGCGAGCAGTCCCCCACCCTGAAGAGGAGGAGGAGGAGTAGGAGGAGGAGGAGTAGGAGGAGCAGGAGTAGGACTAGGAGGAGTGGGGGGGGAGGGGGTGGGCGAGGAGGAGGAGAAAAAGGGCAATGGGTGGGAGGGAAAGTGAGATGCGGCATGATTGTGAGGAGGAGGAGGCGGATGAGGGGGAGGAGGAGGAGGAGGAGGAGGAGGAGGAGGAGGAGGAGGAGGAGGAGGAGGAGGAGGAGGAGGAGGAGGAGGAGGAGGAGGAGGAGGAGGAGGAGGGGAGGAGGAGGAGGAGGAGGAGGAGGAGGAGGAGGAGAAGGCGGATGAGGGGGACGAGGAGGAGAAGCAGGAATGATGTAAGGAGAAGGAGGAGAAGCACGAGGAGGAGGAGGAGGAAGAGGAGGAGGTGGGGGATGAGCAGGATGAGGAAGACCAGAGTAAGCCCAGGATGCGTCAGCGATGCTGCAATAGGCCCTCCCGTCACGAATCCCCTTGTCAAGCGCCACAGCGCAGGTACACATGTTGCGAAGGCCTTAAGGCCGGTGCCGCCGACCCTGAGATTGGGGAGAAGGGCGCGGAGTATGGGGAGGAAGATGAGGAGGGGGACAGGAGGAAGAGGTGGATGAGGAGGAGTAGGAGCACAGGGGGGGAATGAATAGGAGGAGAGTGAGGCGAGCAGGGTCGTATGTACAGGTGGAGGGGGGGCACGAAGGAAGGGCAGGGGCGAGTAGAGCGTGGCGAAGGAGGAAGATATTGGCGAGGATGTTGAAGATGTTGACGACGACGCCAAGTGCCTATCAGGACCGATCGAGGCGTCTTGGATCCGTCCATTTGGAGGGAGGGCGGCGGGGCCGGGACCTTGGCCGGGGCCGGTGCCGGAGCGGGCTGCAGCCAGGGCCAGGCCGGGGCTGGGGGCCGGGCCCGGGCCGGCCGGGGCCAGGGCCGGGGCCGAGGCCGGGACTGTTTCCGGGGCCATGGCCAGGGCGGGAGCCGGGGCCGGCCGGGAGCGTGGCCAGGGCCAGGGCTGGGTTTCGGGCCAGGGCCACGGCCGGGGCCGGGACCAGCCGATTGGAGCCGGGGTTGGGGTTCGGGGCCGGGACCGGGGGCCGGAACCGAGAGCCGGTGCCGGGGATGCAGGCCAGAACCAGCAGGATCGGGGAGCGGGGAGCGGGGTCGGGGCCGGAGCCTGGGCGGGGTCGGGGCAGCGCGCTGGGGCCGGGGCTGGAACCAGGACCGGAGCCGGAACCAGGACTGTTTTCAGGCCCGCCCCAAACCAGCTGAACGATCCTATATCAATTTTTCAAACTACGTCCACCAAATATTTTCAACCTGTTTGTCAACAGCTGTTTGCTTTATAAGCGATTCGTATGTATTTTTGGTTTGGAAAAGTAAGCAACAGCAGACAAAGCACACAAAAAAATAAACACACAACAAGACAACACACAAAGACGATCTACACATGTAATTAAAGAAACAAACCAAGCGGAACAACCAACAACAACACAACTAACACATTAAACAAACAATGGTATGAACAATGAGTGGCGAGGGAAGAGGATGAGGCAGAGGGGGGAAAGAGGAGCTATGTATAATGAGGATGGGCGGTGATGGTGATGATGACGATGAGGGAGTGGTGATAATCATGCTTATGATGGCGACGATGTTGATGAGGATGGTTATAGTGGCGATGCTGATTGTCATGGTGATATTGATGCTGATCTGGATGATGCTGATGGCTCATGGGAGGTTGTCGGAGGCGGAACAGGATGATTATGTTAATTGCGGGAAGGGAGATGGGAGGGCAGGTGGAAAGACGAGCTATCTTCATCACCGCCCTCAACCTCACTACTGCTGCTCCTGCTGATGCTTCCGCTCGTCCATATCATTTGCCTCTGCGCATCAGCATCCCCATGACATTCCTCATTTCCATTATCATCGACATGAACATCATCCTTATCCGCGCCGTCCCACCACTTCACCGTCGCCCCCATCACCATCCGCATCGCCCCACCACCCGTCGCCGTCGCCATGGTTTTCTGGCCGCATGCGACGCCGCGGCGATTGTCGCCATTATAAGGGAAGACGCGGGTAGGCGAGCGATCCGCTCGCCGCCCCCGCGCTCCTGGAGCCCTCGGTGCCGCGGCCACGGTGCCACGCTCGATCGAGGAGTTCCTCGATCGACGGCGTCTCGGCGAGCAAGCTGGCGGAGCGCAGCGCGCTTTGCACGCGCCGCCGCCGCCTGCCCGAAGCCCTCCAGGAGGGTCCACCGAAGGTCAACATCGCCAAGCGGCTGAAGTGAACCCGAGCGCGCCCCCCATCCCCCCCCATACCATATGTGCGCACACGTTGCGAGAGCAAAGCTCTGAAAGTTGCGCGCCCCCCAGGCGCCCGCCCCCCGGCGACGAGCAAAGCTCGCGCGGGCGTGCAATGCCGCCGATGCCCGAAATCTTTGTCATCATCGCCGTTCTCGCGCTGCCGCCCCCCCCCCCGCCCCTTCCCCCCCCCCGCGAGGGCGCCGCCCAGGTCCGCTTCATCCGCTTGGCGAGGTTCACTTTCGGGTCCCCCTCCCTGGCGAGCTTCGGGTTCGAGGCGGCGAACGACGCGCGCAACGCGCGCGAGCATCGCGCCAGTTTGCTCGCCAAGACGCCGTCGAGGAACTCCTCGATCAAGCGCGGCGCCAAATGGCCCCAGATGTATTTGTGGCGCAGGAAGGCCGCGAACAAGACGTCGCTCGCGGCGCCCTCGCCCCAAGCTGGGCGGGCGGAGAGCGCCGCGCGGGGCGCTGCGGCAGGATCGCGCGGGCCGCGGCCGTTGCAGTCGCAGCGCGGCGAACTTCGAGCGCGACGAGGCGGTGAATGCACCCCCATCACGTCATCTGCGACCCCCCCCCCCGCCCCCCATCGCGTCATCTGCGGGCGGCGCTCGCATGCATGTGCCAATGACATGAATGCAAACGCATATGGTCACGCATGACATCAGAGCGCGCGCGCGCCTGCATCGCGCATGCGTGCGTGCAAGTGCGCGCATTGTTTCGCGACCGCTCGCGGTCGTCGCAGGGCGTGCGCGCGAGGTCCTGCGCCATGCGCAACGGCGCGCTCTACGCCCCCAAGCCGGAGCATGAGAGCCGAGTCGCGGCCGAGAGCGACCCAGCGCCCGCGCCCCGTGAGCTCGCGGCGCTGGCGCTGGATTAAGGCGAGGCTGATGTAACCCAGCTCGGCGGCGCGCGCTTCGACGAACTCGCGCGCTGCCCGAACTCCAAACCGCCCGCCCGTCGATTCGAGCACAAACGCGCGGCGCGGCTCGCCCGCGGGCAGCGGGCGAACGCCGTTGTTCGCGATGGCGCATCGCGGACGCGCGCGCAGCACGCACTTGCAAAGACGGTCGGCGCGCGAAGAAAGCCGCGCACGGTAGCGATCGCTGCAGCGATGGCGGCGATGCGATGGGGGAGGGGCGATCGAAGGCTTGACATCGGAAGCGGTTGCACAGCGCGGACGCGCGCAAATCGCGCAATTGGAAGAGCGGAAGGCGCGCTACAGCGCGCCGTGCAAGCAATGATCACGGCGCCCATGGCGACGGCGCGACCGACGGAGACGGGGCGAGATGGAGGTGGGGGGTTCTCAAGCAAAGCCGGCCGCGCACGCGCGAGCGGTCGGCGGGCCGCATGGGCGGCCGAGATCTCTCACCAGGCACGCGCTGCTACGCGCGCCGACGGGCCGCCCCGACTAGCTGGCACGCGGCGAGCGAGTCGCTCGCAAGTCGTCGTCGCCGTCTGACGTCGGACGTCGTCGTCGCCACCTGGCGTTCGTCGTCGTCGTCTGACGTCGCCGTTGGTCGCCGTCGTATGACGTCGCCGTTGCCGCCCGACGTTCGTCGTCGCATGACGTCGCGGTCGCTCGACGTCGTCGTCGTCGTCGTCGCGCCGAGTCGCCGGGCCCAGCTCAGCCCGAGCCTAAGCTCGGGGCGCGCGGGCCCGCGCGCGGGCCCGCCGCCGCCGCCGCGGCGCGCGCCTCCGCCCGCGGCAGGCACGCGGGCGCCGCCTTCGGCGGCGGCGCTGCGCCAGCCGCCGCTTCGCCAGGCGGCGCCTTCGGCGGCGGCGCGCGGAGGGCGAATTGCGCAGCCGCCTGGAGTTCGCGGCTCTCGGCGGGATGCTGCGCCGCCATCTGGCGCGCCGCCGCCTGCGCCGCCGCGGCCTCCGCGTTCTGGGGGCGCCCCTGCTGCCGCGGCACCTGGGCGAGGAGGCGCGCCGCGATCGCCTCCTCGCGGGCGCCGCCGCCGCCGCCGCCTCCGAGCGGCTCCGCCGCTGCCCCCCAGGCCCCCCCCCCCATCGGGCGCCGCTGCCCCCATCGGCCGCTGCGTCCGAGGCGAGAGTGAGAAGGGGGAGGAGGAGGAATGAGGATAATTAAGGAGGGGGGGGGGAGAGCGATGCTCGCGCAGGGAAGGACAGATAAGGTGCCTCCCAGGGCGGCTGCAGGCCGTGGACCCTGCCCAGCGCCGCCGCGCGCTCCTGGGCGAGCGCCGCGTCCGCCGCGGCGAGGTCGGCCTGCGTGCTGATGCGAGCGACGACCTCGCTCATGGCCGACAGGGGCGCCGCGTCCGCGCGCAGGTCGCTGCGACCCCGCGAAGCAGCGTGACCCAGCGGTGCTCCATCTCCTCGCGCGCGTGGGCCTCGTCGAAGGCGAGCGTCTGCACGCGCTCCTCGAGCGCGGCCGCCCCGCGGCGCGACGCGCGCCTCCTGCCGCGCCTGAGTGGATGAGGGGGGGGGGGGGGGGTTGCGATGGGGAGGCAGAAAACGCATTCATCGGGCTGATCGCGGCGAGCAGAGCTCAGCCTGAACATTCAGCGAGCGAAGCTCGCAATCACATCGCCCCAAGCCCCCGCGCAACTGCGCGCGTGCGCGCAGCGCGCCTCCGCGAGCTGATGCTGCAGCTCATCGACGCCAAGTTCTCCGTCGCGGGCGCGCGGCAGCGCGCG